ACACACACACATATATATACACATAAATATATTATATATAATAAGTATTTACATGTTACACAATTATTACCATTAATTATTTATTATTAACGTTTTTACTATTAATTCATGTAAATGTGTTATGTTTAAATATGTCTTTTATAATTTTATATACCTTACATAGTTTAAAATATATTTATAATCTAAATCTAAATTACATCTGTCATTTTGTAGGTTGTTCTCTTGCGCAACATGGTTGGTCCTGGAGAGGTTGATAACGATCTTGAACCGGAAGTGAAAGACGAATGTAACACTAAATATGGTGATGTTGCACGTGTTATTATTCATGAAGTGATTGAAGCTTTGCCAGAGGAAGCAGTACGAATTTTTGTTGAATTCAAGAGAATAGAAAGTGCTATTAAGGCCGTAGTTGATTTGAATGGACGTTTCTTCGGTGGTAGAACGGTTAAAGCAGGATTTTATTCTAGTGAGAAACTTGATAACTTACAATTAATGGATTAATTGTCTGTAAGAAATTCAAACTCTAATGTTTGTTCTTCACAAATTGTATAAATATTTTATATTTCTACGTAATATTAGCAAATTATTGAAAAATAAATTTTTTCTAATTATAATGTATAGAATTTATATTTTCAATATTTACAATTATATGATCATACATATTAAGATGAAATTGGACTCAAGTAATTTTAAATTAAAATAAATAATAGATAAAGGGTTATAAACTAAGCAACATGTTTGTTGTTAAATACTAAATAATAAAATCTTTATATAAATTAAAACACAAACATTTTGACCTCTATCAGGTCATTCTCAATGTGAATACAATTAACTGTTAAAAAAATGGTAATATACAAAAATTGGACGGTTAAGTTTATAAAATTAAATATATGATAAATATGATCTAAACAAGCAAGTGCGAAGTGAATGCTTGATATAGGCGCGATGATATTGTGTAACGATAATAATGAAATACCGTAAAAAAAGGGAAGAAAAGAAAGAAAACAAATGAATAATTTCACATATGATGAAATTTCTATTTGTATTCTATTTGTACATTTATTTATCCCATCGTTTACAAAATAGAAATATTTATTTAGTAAAAGAAGCAGTGAGACATAAGAAATAATTATTTATATGTTAATTTATATTTATTTATTTATAATTATATATATTCATTTACTTATTTATTTATTTATTTATGATCTCTTCATGAATATTTTTCTGTTTATCTCCATTATTATTTTCATCATCATCATTGTTATCATCTTCAATGCTGCGCTTTCCTTTTCCTCATCTTATTCTTCTACAACATAGAAGCATCTCCCAGATGAGAATTGAATTATACTTATATATTAATATTCTTCTACCAGTTCATGACTAATTTCTACAGTAATTTTATTAAAATAATGAAGCACTCATCAGAACAATAGATACAAATTAAGGACTCTTACAATAGAGTCATAAGCGGTAAGCCGTAAGAAATTAACTAATCATAGTCGATTATTTTTTTCACACTTAACTGTGATTGGCCAATTTCTTACAGCTTACGACTTGCGACCCTGGCTGTGGTCAAAGTCTCATTACAAATGTTTTGAAGTGTTTGGATGATCAATTAGAAAAAAGAATTTTACAAATTGACCAATCAAAAAGTGCTTTAAAGCATTTGTAGCATCGCGTTGATCATATCCCCCTATTGTAGAACAGGCACTCATAGAAACGAGTGTGTTCTATTTAGTTGTAAAAGAAGAACTAACTATATAAGAAATACAGCTAAAAGGAACAGACCGTTGACTAGAAGTCGAGTCAAGTCGAATAAGTAAATCGAATATGCTATTCTATAAGTACGCTACAGTACGTTATAAGTTTATATGGGCTACGGAATATACACTTTTGATTGTGATAATGGTTGGATATTGTCGTATTTGCAAAATAGGAGTAGGAGAGGAAATTGATGTATCCATTCATCGGTAAATATATTTTTATAAATATAGAATATATATGTCACAGTCAAAGTTAACTCTTAATGCATACATTTACTGTTGTTTGTTGTAGTTGTCGGTTGGTCAGTATATACATTTATTAAAGTTGACATTTTGATTATGACATAAATACATAGAAAATAAATAATAAGTTTGTTATATATATCAAAAAGTATATGAATAAATTTTATCAAATGATGTATTCAATAAAACATTTTTTACTATATGTAAATGGAATAAAATTAATTTCATTAGTATGAATTATGATTGGTTATATTTTGCACAATTTCAATAGCTTAATATAAGGTAAATAGTTTAATAATAGACAAATATAAATAACTTAATAATAAACAAATATAAATAGCTTATAATAATAGACAAATTTAAGATCATTTGTACAGATCATTTATACAGATTTACAATATCTTTTCAAACAACTTTTTCTTATTTTTATTTCCAACTTAGGTTTTTCAATTTAATTTATTTTTATGTAATATACACAATTAAAGATCTTGATAAAGATCGAAATCAGAAAATCAAATCAATATAAGTCAAAGCAATATTTAGATCATTACATCAAAATATTTAATCGAATAAATAGTGAATTAAAAAATATCAACTTTGAATTGCCAAAAATAGAAAGAAAAAATTGTTTAATTTAAATAATCTATCGAAAATTGATTTATAAAATATCTCTTAATATAATTTTGTCAATAGAATATCAGCATAATATTCTGTTATATATATATGTATCAAGATAGATTAACTAGATTTTTTACAATCTGTTATCAGATTGTGTTAATAGGATTTATTGAAAGAACAGGAGCTATTAAAGCAGTTAATATTACAATTTTGATCAAATTTACTGGTAAACTTCTAGCATGTTATTAATACTTTATTTATTAGATGTTTAATTACACATGCGATTAAACATCATATATTCTCTCAGCTTATATTAGTCTTAAATTACATTTGCATTTTTATAAGTAAGATAAAGTAGTAAGTAAGATATATGAAAAATTAATTTAACAGAAAAATTTTTAGTTATTTTAATAAAATTAATTTTGAAAAGCATTTTATGAAAAGTTATAAATAAAATACAATATATAAAATATATAAATAAAATAATTTATAGTATAAAAATATTTATGAATTAATTTATATATTTTTAAGGCTGCCAAAAGATGAAAAGACTAAAGCAATTTGGTTTGCATTTATTGGTCGTGAATTAGGTCCAAACAGTGGAATTTGTAGCAAACATTTTAAACAATCTGATTTTATTTATAAAATATATGGAAATGGTGTTAGACGATTCCTTAAACAAGGAGCATGTCCATCTATATTACATGTCTCAAATATTAGGTAATTTCATAGTATAATATACATAACATTTTAAAAAGTAAAATATTATATGTATTGATATTTATATAATTTAGGAAAAACGTTGAACTTTCTGGAAACATTAATAATGGTATTTCATCGAGAACTGAAAGAGATACTGATCCTGAAAAAAATATAATAATAAAAGAGGAACTACAAGAATGCATAATTATAGATGAAACTATAATAAATACAGAGAATTCAATGGATATTCAATTCAGCAGGTTGGTTCACATAATAATCATTTAAATTTTAATTTTATAAAAGACTTCCCCGTTTTATTTTTAGCGAAACTAATGATCCTTTAATCATTATGGAACATAATACTAACTTGGAAACAAGTACAATATTAGAAAATGAGAGACAAGAATTCATAAATATAGATGAAACAATAAATACAAATTCAACAGATATACAATTGAAAAGGTTAATTTATACACAATAATAGTAACTTAATCTCATACAAATTTTTTATAATAATTCATATAAATATGGGATGATTTAAAAAAACCTTCTCATTTTATTTTTAGAGAAATTGATCCCTTAGCTATTACAAAACATGATACTGACTTGAAAACAAACATAATATTAGGAAATAGAATACAAGAATCAATAAATGTTGATGAATCAATCAGTACAAATTCCATAAATCACTTGAAAAGGTTGGTCGTCCCTCTTTCATACATATATGATATCTAATAATTTTATCTCTATACAAATTTTTATGTATATTTTAAATAACTCTCTACAAATTTAGAATAGTTTAATAAAATTTTTGTTTTATTTTTAGAAAATTAAATAATTCCTTAGTGACTAAAAAACGCTTCCACAATGCAAGATACATTGGAGATTTATGTCGAGAGGATTTCACTTCGGATGAAGCTTGGTATTTATTTAAAAACTATTTAACAAATACAAAAACAAAAATAAAGTCTTTAAATCATAAAATTATACATTTAAATAAAAAAATCGATAGGTTGCAAAAGATAAATCATTTTTTATAAATAGAAAGAATGTATACGAAATTTACCCCCATACCAAATTAGACTTACTATATGTTGATTGATATATTTTCTCACATTTTTCTGTCCGAGAAAGAATGAGATATATGTATGGACATA